TATGAAATAAATAAACAAAGTTAAGCTCGTCGAAGCGAGCTAACAATTTGGTGCCGTGACCGATCTTCTTCTATTTACTACATCGAAGAAGAACGAACTTATTAATTAATTTACTCATCCGTGACGGAAAGAGTGAAGTATCATCTCATCTTTCTAGGAAAGAGAGAATTAGATATTCATATATAAATTAGTTTCAAAATTTAATTATCAAAAGAAGGTATATTTCTTACATATAAAGTTCAAATTTTTTGTCCTTCTTTTTAAGTGCATATATATATATATATCTAACAACGGCTACCGGTACAAGAAGAGCGATTAAAAAAAGTGGAGCACATATTTTATCATATGAATTAATTACCAATTCACCAACACGAATAAGAAATAAAAAACAAAACAATATGTCATTTATGCAAGAAATGGAAACAACTCCGATGGAAGCTCGACAAATTTATTTAAGCGAAAAAGAAGTAATGAAGAAAATAGCTGAATTTTCAGGAGAAGCTGATGAAATTGATATTGATGAATGGATTTTTGATTTAAATAATTTATTTTCATTAATGAAATTAAAAGATGAAATAAAAGTTCTCGAAACAATGGGCAAATTAACAGGACCAGCATTACGATGGTATCAAGAAAATTTAAGATCATTCATTACTTGAAATGATGCTGAAAAAGCACTACGTGATCGATTCAAAGAATTTACATCCAACAGTCAATTAATGCAAGAATTTTTTAACATTCATCAAGAAGAGAACCAATCCGTTATATCATTTTATGAAAATATAATTCGGAAATATAGAAAATCTCGACAATTTATTACTGAACAACAAGTTATCACAGTATTACAAAATGGTGTTAAAAATTCATTAAAAGAATATTTAATTCGTAATGAAAAAGAAATTAAAAAACCAGAAGAATGGTTGCAATTAGCAAAAGAAGAAGAATATATACAAAAACGAATTCAACAACAACGTAATGGTTTATATTCTGGAACAAAAAATAAAACATTTTTTGAACATATTTTACCAACTGCAACAGTTCAACCAACACCATCGAATTTTCAATTGTCGAGTCAACAGCCCTCTACATCACGTCATTACTACAAACAACAACATCAACAGCTACCATCATTAACAAATAATCGAACACACTCAAAACCAAATAAGTTTATAAATCGTCAACAACATCGAGAAAATTATCCAGAAAATAAAATTCAAAAATCCAATCCATGTTTAATTTGCAACAAAAACAATCATGCAACAATAAAATGTTTTTATAAGAAGAACAACGGCTGTTTTAAATGTGGACAATCAAATCATCAAATACGTGATTGTCCTCAACAACATTTTTTCGAATAAAGGGATCGGATGATGGCGACGATCCCTGTGGAGCAAAACAGTCATCAACCACAACAGCATTTAATCCTATTTTTGTCAAAATTTTATGCAACAACACTCCACAAACAGCACTTATCGATACCGGATCGGCCATCACTATTATACATCAACAACTATTAAATGATATACCACATGAAAAATTAATACCAAAAACAATAAATCATATATCTGCAAATTGCTCAACATTAGATATTGTTGGTGAAATACCTTTAGAAATAAATGTTAATGGAATAACAACAACAATTATTGCTGATGTTACAACCAATCTGGTTACGAATTTAATATTAGGTAGTGATTGGATTCAATCAAACAACGTTTATATTCTTACACCTGAACAACGAATTATGATCCGAAGTCGAGGTAAAGAAGTATCAACTCCTTTTGTAAAACCACCTCTTTTAAATTATCCAGTTACTCTTATTAATCATATTACTCTTCCTCCTTTTTCAGAAAAAATAGTAGAAGCACAAGTTCAACATAACAATATGATAGATGTATTATTTGAACCAAATCCTCGATTAAAAAATAAAGCATTATTTACTGCAACTGCATTACTGAACATTGAAAATAGACGAATAAAAATTAGTATAATTAATGCAACGAATCGACAACAAACACTTTCCGAAGGAACCAAATTAGGTATAGTAACACAATTATCTTCTACAATTGGTGTTACCATACCATCAAATTATTTGATAGAACGCATTCCGGAAGGAAAAGCGTGTAAAGAGCTCATTCCTGAAGGGAAAGGAGCGAACAAATCAAATAAATTAAATTGTAACAACATACCAACTATAGCATCACACGGAAAACAACGTCAATGTCGTAAATGTTATCAACATTTTGATACTAGCAATGAATTATTCAAGCATCTTAGAAATCAATGTTATCCTGACGAAATAAGACAGCAAATAAATAAATTAACTGAACACATTAGCGATGATAAACAACGAGAACAAATTTTAAAAATTTTATGGAAATATGGAAAATTATTTGACATTAGTGAACCATCAAAAATTGATATAATTTTAAAAAATGCTATTGATACTGGTACACACCGTCCTGTTCATACTCCACCATATAGAAAATCAAACAAAGATCAAGAAACCTTAAGAAAAGAAACAGATAAATTATTAAAAAATGGAATTATTGAACATTCAACATCACCATGGTCTTCACCTGTCGTTTTAGTAAAAAAGAAAGATGGAACAACAAGATTTTGCGTCGATTATCGTCGCTTAAACCAAATTACAACAAAAGATGCTTTTCCATTACCAAGAATTGATGATATTTATGACCAATTAACAAAAGCAGCATATTTTACAAAATTCGATTTTAAAGCTGGATATTTTCAAGTACCATTAGACAAATTAGATCGACCAAAAACAGCATTTTCAACTCGAGATGGACATTTTCAATTTAAAGTATTACCATAAGGTCTTACTAATGGACCACCAACATTTCAACGTATTGTTAATCAAATATTAGGTCCAAACAGATGGAAACATGTACTCGCCTATATCGATGATATTATTATTTATTCACAAAATTTTAATGAACATTTAAAACATATCGAAGAAGTATGTTTATTATTACAAGAAGCCAATTTTAGATTAAATGTTGACAAATGCGAAGTTGCAAGAGCAGAAATATTATTTCTTGGACATTTAATTAAAGCAGGTACTATTAAACCTGATCCAGACAACATCCGTGGTTTGACCGAAACACGTGAACCAACATCAGCTGAAGAAGCATTTAGATTCGTCAAAGCAGCAGAATATTACCGAAAATTTATTCCAAAATTTTCCACCATCGCTGCACCATTACATAAATATTCTCCAGCAACAGTACAACAACAGAAGAATAACAAAAAATTAAAATTTGAATTATCTGCCGAAGCTAGAACAGCATTCCACCAACTTAAGAAAATCTTAACAACTGATCTTATTCTTGATTTACCTGATGATACATTATTATTTAAATTACAAACTGATGCTTCTGTAGATGGAATTGGTGCTGTTCTATTACAAATTACTTCCAATGGTGATCGACCATTAGCATATATGTCAAAGAAATTAACAAGAACACAAATTAATTGGCCAACAATTGAACAAGAATGTTATGCAATAGTACAAGCAATAGAAAAATGGGACAAATATCTTCGTGGACACGAATTTATATTAGAAACTGACCATGAACCATTAATTCACTTTGCAAACAAAGAACAATTAAATAAAAGATGTGAACGATGGCGATTAAAATTAGCTGAATATCGATTTAAGGTGAAACATATTCAAGGTAAGAAAAATCATATGGCAGATTATCTTTCAAGATCACCAGTCGACATAGCTGAAGAAGATATTGAAGAACGAACTCAGTATGAATCAACATCAACACAAACAGATTTATCATTTTCATCATTAAATAATAATTTAACTCCATTAAAAATGACAACAGCAATTACTAGAGCCCAAGCCAAATTACAACAACAAGCAATGGCAACACCATCTATTAAACTGCCAGATGGAAAAATTAATGAGCTCATCCCACAAGGGAAAGTAGCGACTGATGAAGAACTGATAATCAAACCACCAGATGAAAATCCAAATAAGATCATCCCATTTGATATGGATGACTTAAGAAAATGTCAAGAAGAAGATAAAACAATTCAAGAAATAAAAAAGAATATTAAGAATAAAAAACATTATTTTATTGAAGATGGAATATTATTTAAAAAACAACAACTACCACTTCTATCTGTACCATATGTTCCAGCAGGACTAATACGTGGTGATATATTAAAAATTTATCATGATACACCTGCTAATGGAGCTCATTTTGGACGTGACAAAACAATAAGAAAAATTCAAGAACGTTATTATTGGCCAACAATGATAGCAGATATTAGAAATCATTTAGATTCATGTTTACCATGTGCACAAAATAATTATCGTCGTCAAAAATTACCAGGAAAATTAAAACCAATACCACCACCAGAAGGAATATGGAAATTATTAAGTATGGATTTTCATGGTCCAATTACTCCAACATCAAAAATAGGAAACAGATACATCATATCTCTTACAGATGTTTTATCAAAATTTGTTATTACAAGGGCGGTTCGAGATTGTTCAGCAGCAACAGCAGCTAAATTTCTTATTAATGATGTTATATTAAAATATGGCACTCCAACATGTATATTAACTGACAATGGTACTCATTTTACTTCTCAAGTTATGAACAAATTATTTGAAAATATTGGAGTCACTCATCTTTATTCCACAGTATATCATCCACAAACTAATGGACAAATTGAACGATTCAATGCAACTATGGATGGAAAAATTGCCGCTTTATGTAATGAACGACGTACAGACTGGGATGAAGTATTACAATTTGTTACATTTAATTATAATACATCAATACATGCAACAACAAAACAAACACCATTCGAAATGATGCATGGAAGACAAGTTACACTTCCATTTGATCAACAAAAAGAAATTATTTCGCTCACACAAGATCCAGAGCACAGTCAAAAAATTAGAATATATCTCGAAAAATTAGTAAATGAAGCTCGAAACAATATTATAAAAAATCAACAACAATAGACAAAATAATTAGTCGATTTATTTACAAAAGACACACCATCATGTACGATTTTTATGATTTATTATTTGAAAATGATTATGGATTAAAATTATATCTATTTGATTATCTTATTGATGCCATATGTCATAAAGCTGAACGAATTGATGAACTTAGTCTTAATGTGTGTGGACACACATCTATCATAAGAGGGGAGGAATGTTAACGGTGACTCACATTCTGCCTACCCTCGATTCTCTATCTCTT